GGGGAAAAAGAATTTTTGGGCTCTGGGGTTAAATTTTTGTTTAAACCCCTTCAAATGGGAGGCGAAATTGGTGGATGTGCATTCCTGCATAACTTGAGATATCAGGCGACTGGACAAGACCGCTCCAGGAACCTCAGATAAGTCTTATGTAGTAACCTGGCCAGTGTTATTTTCATAGATAGACAGTGAGGTTTTCTGAGTATGATACACATTAATCTCCAGTCAAATTGGTGAGTGTTATGATTAAGATATATTCTCCTTCTGTTGTATAAATGTGTGTATATACTATAATCCTTTTTTAATTTTAATATACAGTCCACAAATTTATATATTTACCAGTATTCCTGGTGTATGTATATTTCATTAATAATTAATAGGTCCAGAGCAAGTTGTGGATATGACAGTGGTAGGTATCGAAGGGGGACATTTTTTGTGACCTAGGTGTCCCAAATTCCTACTTGTCTATTAACATTGATAAATAATAATTATCTTTGTTATTTACTGTTATGTACATAATGAGTTACATACAGATAAATGTAATTTTCCACAGAAGGTTCAGCTCCATAATCTCGATCAGAGTGAGGGACTGATCACCTCATCTTTACCTCTTCACTGGTTGTATTGTCTTCAATATTTAGTCACCTTTATATTTGACTGAAGAAGCCTGCTGAGCAGGCGAAACGTTTCGACAATACAGATAAGTAAGTGTTGGGCTGTGTTTTACTCATCCACTTGTAGATACTGTTTACCATTAATATGTTGAACGTCTGTTGTGGCTTCTGTTATGACATTTGTTGTGGCGTCTGTTGTGGCTTCTGTTATGACATTTGTTGTGGCGTCTGTTGTGGCATTGATGGTAGTGGCATGTGTTGTTATGGCGGCGTTGTTTGTGGTAGTAGGATCTGTTGTAATGGTGGTATTCGTTGTAGCTTTGTTGTGGCGTCTGTTGTGGCGTCTGCTGTGGCGTCGTTAGTGTGGTGGCATGTGTTGTGGCGGCGGCGTTGTTTGTGGTAGTGGCGTCATGACAGTATTAGGTAGAGGAGTCGGCGTGGCCAGAGAGAGAGAAAGAGAGAGAGAGACCAGCGCGTGTGGACAGGTGGCCAACACGTTAGTTGGTGCCAGGCCGCGGAACACGGCGATCCTCTTAGGCACTGCCAGGCACCACTCTGTACACGGCACCCCCACCCTGCTAGGCACTGTCTCAGATCACCCCTTCCTAAGACAGTATCACTCACCACGTCTCTCCACGCGGGGTCTACACCTTTGTTACGGTGTGTGCCGCGCCCTTGGCGCGCCCTGTCTCACACCACGCCCTCCCCGGCACCACGCCCATCTCCACAGAGTGTGACAGGCCTCTCCCCTCTCGCTCAATATTAAAATACATTCCGCCCAGAGTCACTCCACTTGCCACCCCAGAATCCTCCAGACTCTCTAGCTACACACATCGCTCATGACACGTTAGCGATACGTTAACAATACTCATATGATTCTGCTATAATTTTTTACGAACCATAATTATTTTTTTTGCATGCGTTGCGACATGGGAAAGGCAATGACTACTGCTGCTCACCATCACCACAAGACTAAGATTATTAACCTAAATTAAAGAGTTCCCAGATTATCCAAGTCACGTGTGAATGTAACTTGACCTTGTCATTACTTTATGCAATGTACTATTCTCGTATGGTTCATTCATTGCTAGTAGACGGGAAGTCTTGATCCTCCAGCCACTCACGAGCAGCCACTTCACCGAGTCAAAGATAGTTTGTTTAAGTCTTGGAAAAGTTGAATATTGGAGACTTCCTGAAGTCTGAAGTGAAGCACCGCTGACGGAGACTCTTGTGTAACCAATCTTTGATAAGTAACTAACAGAGGATAATGTGGATGGTTATCATCCTCAGGCTAGGGGTTTTTTTCGAGTGAATTATTAAAGGCTGTCGAAATATTGGTTTCTACTCGTTGTCAAGAAGTGTCAGTTTCACCTTTTTATGTTTAATTTAGTGCTGTTAATATCGGAGCAACGTCAAAGTTTTCCGTCTAAGAACACGGGTGCGGTGAACAAGGTTCGGTTGGCTAAGCGTCTTCCATCACTAATTTAACAAAACGATCGTTTTCAAAACAGCGAAATTTTACACTTGCTCAAAAAGCAGTAGCAGTTAACAAAATTTTCTTGGCAGAAAATTCGAAGTTAACCACTGAGAGGGACATATTTAGTAAACATATTTTATATACAGAATTAAAAGTGAATTGCAGTAATTTGTATTACTGTGGCAGCAGTGGTTTGTCTGCTTAATGTTTACGATGACCAGCTTAGACCTGTGATGCCTTACCTGAGAGCCTAGTATGACAATGTGATATAGACTCCATGACTACCTGATCACCGTACCAGTCCCCAGTAACCATGGAGGAGTCCCGGAGGAGCGTGTCTCCCCATCTCGCCTACCTCAAGCTCTCCAGAGAGCCAATCCGTCGACATCATTCCTCAAGTACATCTTCACGGTGATACTATGGTACAGGCCTTCCGTGCCGGGGCTCGCACTCCTCCCTCAGCCTCGTCAGGCCTCCCGAGACTCTGTGACAGGACCCGTCATCACTCCCTCACCAGACTAAAGGATATCACTGCCTACGTCCTCCCTGCCAG